GCAATTACATCTGTATAATAATGAAAATGACAACTTCATTTTATTGCTTATTTCATGATAACTTTGCAAAAATTCTTCCATAATAATGAAATATAGTTGATATAATATAATACTAAATAAAAATTTCATTTTTTTTGGTTTTATGACTTAGGCCACTTTTATAATAACCGGCATATATGAGGTCATCATTCTGTCTGGGATGCCTCCAAGTATGTTTGATTCTGAAAAATACGAATAGTTCATTTCAGAACAATGGTGACAAAATAATAATAATACTTTTTTTTTTATATCTTTACAAAAATAGCCCATAAATTAAGATTTGAAGCGAAATTGATTAAACAAGAATTTGCTGAATATTTTATAACAAATGCTAGCTTAAATTGAACATAATATTTCAAATTTTTCATTAATTAAAAAAGTTTATTAAATTTAGTAAAAGTTTAGTAAAAAATAAAAATGCTTGTGTAAAAATAAAAATTGATATTTAATTAAAAGACTCTAAACATCTTATAGCTTTTTTGTTATCTTTCCTCTTTTTTATTTCTTCTATTGCGTAGAAAAATGCTATTTATAAACAAATTATTTTTTGGATCAAAAAATTATTATTTTTGTCTACAGAGTATTTTTTCATTTGCTACTTTCTACTTTTAAAATTTTTCATTTATCTTTGAATATACAGGATGTTTCAGACCAAACGCAGGTCCTCGAAGGAGTGGATAGATCTCGATAACGTGAGTAAAAAAATGTCCGTACAAGAAAATTGTGAGGTCAATAGTTTTTGAATAAAATGCATTTGAAGTTAACCAATCACGGGGTTCGCATTTCGCGCCGTCAGAAGAATTTATTTCTTATACACAAGCAATTGTTTAAAACAATTGAGTTTTATTTTAATGTTTATTAATATGATAGTGTTAATAATAATTTCTATACAATATGTAATTGATGTGGCAGAATGTATTGTAAACGAGAATGATTCATGCCGCGCTGCTCCTGACGGCGCGAAATGCGAATCCCGTGATTGGTTAACTTCAAATACATTTTATTCAAAAACTATTGATCTCACAATTTTCTTGTACGGACATTTTTTACTCACGTTATCGAGATCTATCCACCCCTTCAAAGACCTGCGTTTGATCTAAAACACCCTGTATACCCAGTAAACATCGAAATCTTGTAGACATCGAAAAGATATTTTATTCAAGATGTCTTCAAGATATTTCTAAAAGATATCTAGAAGTTATTTAAAAGATGTCTAAAAAAGTTTCGTTGAAGATATCTTTATAGAATATCTAAAAGATATCTATAGACATCTAAAAGATCTC